GTCAGTCAGTCAGTCAGTCTGTCAGTCTGTCTGTCTGTCTGTCTGTCTGTCTGTCTGTCTGTCTGTCTGTCTGTCTGTCTGTCTGTCGGTCTGTGTCTATCAATCAATCAATCTATCTATCTATCTACCTATCTATCTATCTATCTATCTATCTATCTATCTATCTATGGTGTCCTTCGCCTGCCTGTCAGTCTGTCAGCCTGTCAGTCAGTCAGCCAGCCAGCCAGCCAGCCAGCCAGCCAGGCAGTCTGTCTGTCTGTCTGTCTGTCTGTCTGTCTGTCTGTCTCTGTCTGCCTGCCTGCCTGCCTGCCTGCCTGCCTGCCTGCCTGCCTGCCTGCCTGCCTGCCTGCCTGCCTGTCTGTCGGTCTGTGTCTCTGTCGGTGTCCGTCCGTCCGTCTGTCTATCTACCCATGGATCCGTCTATGTGTCCGTCTGTCTATGCATCTGTCTTTCTGGGTGGGCGAATGTGTCTGCATGCATACAAGCGCATACATTACATACTTACCTGTTTACTTGCTTACATCGAGACATGACCTCGGCTTTAACAGACAGCGAGAGGAGCAATGTGTGTAGGCGTAGACTGGGCAGGAACGGAAATAGAATTGTTCACGGTAGGAGAAACAACGAAAATAACAGGAAGAGCAAAACGACTGGCCTCCAGATATCTCTCTGACTTTGCACAGGAGAACAGCGCCCACGGATCTTCTGCCAGGGGTGGCAACTCTGTCCGATGGCATTGGACATCTGACTCCAGCATGAGTGCAGGACAGCCTGAGGAGATACCCAGCAGGACGGAGGCCAAGGTACAAAAGAACGGTGGCCTCCGGCTGCCTCTTTTCCGGCCCCCGAATGCACGTTCGAGCCGCGAAGAGCACTCGGCGAGATTCAGCCCTCCATGCCTCCTCACATCTCGGCATCGGAGCCCCAGACCCGATGGCTACGAGGGCCGGCACGCCTCTTGCAGCCCACCGCCGCGGGTCATCGGCCACTCGCCCCACTACCCTCCCACCACTCCAGGGGACCGCACCACCCCGGGTGACCGCACCACAGTGGGCGACCGCACCACACGGACGATGGGAGGTGGGGCGACCAGCACAGCTGCCTCAGCATCTCATTACATGTCGATCCCGTCACCATCACCGGGGTCGCGATCTGGAGGCCAGCTTTTCGCGATGCTTTGCCTTTTACACTAATTACTTCCTGAAGTGCATCGCAGGCTAGGTTACAATCACTGAGACGAAAAGATGGAAGTGCTGCGAAGCTGCTGGCTACTACTTCTTTCCGTAGCATGGCTTAGTAGTAAAGATCTGAGGGCGTCAAGGCGAGGAATACAGCAAGCAGCAATGCACAAGGGTTTTCGGCTTAGGCTCACAATCCGGCACACAGACTCCGAACCCAGCTGCAAACAGAGGCTGACAATCCGGGTGAATCCGGAAGCCGAAGCTTTCGGCCGATGCATGCTTCCACCTCCTCCCCGACCCTCTCCCAAAGTTGAAGCAGTTAACCACATATAAAGGAGCCTCCCATACGGGCACTATTAGGATCCGAATTCTAAAGACCCTGGCGACTCAAGCCTTCAGGACGCACACTCCGAGCTTCAAGACT